TAAATCCATTCCCATTTGGTCGTTTTGGAGATACCATCTTGCACGCAAAAACTTAACCCAAAGTGTGAGCGCTGAACGTTGGAGTGAAGGATAATAGATATCCATATTCTTTGAATAGCCCGAGCCTGATAAAACTCACAGCTATACTTAAATAAATTCTTTAAGTTGAACAAAGATTGTATACCATGCTCTCCATGTTTCCATGCTTAAGTATATATACAATGTAGGTTAGTATAAAGTGCAAAAAGTATCTTGTGTTTACAATTACATCACCATTCTGATTAGTATAAATGTGTATCTGGCATTGTGCATCATAAAACAGGTTTCCATATCCAAATAAAAACATTTAACAGGTCACAAACAAACTTAACAGACTTGAAAATGGTTAAAATGTGTACATTTTGTAAAGGAAAGGAAATGGGTACAATTTTTAGATTTTTTTTAACCGAAAAACTTGGCATATTTTTATCATTGTGGAAATGTGTGTCTTGAACGAACATGCATTTTTTTTAAGCATTATAAAATCATGCAGATAGGGCTATTAAATGAAATACTCTGGGGTATGTAGAATATCAATGTCACTCATGTCAAAAGATCAAGGTCATCTTCAAAATCAGGTCAACTAAAGGTTAGATTTTGACAAATTACCCCATGGGCAACATAATAACAGTAAATATTTACCACCCAATATAATTTATTTAAAATATTTACAATACTTCACTATAACTTCAATCTTAACAACCTGTGACCGCTTTAACCTGAACCTTTAACAGTGCAAACATGAATTTTGACCTAAAAACTCACTCATGTTCTGCTATAAGAATTTTGTATAAGCAAGTGGGAAATGGGGTCCCTGTAAAAACATGGGTTTTATTGTCAAAAGTGCAACATTGTATTGTTTGGTATTTTTTTAAATATCATCTTTTTTTCTTCCTCAACAAAATTTCAGTCTTTAATTTTTCCTTTTTTATATAAATTTAACAAACATCTTCTATTTTCTCAGCAATACACTTATAATACTTTCTTCACAGTATGTTTAAAAACAAAAACATGAAAGCTGTTACAAAGTGAGCTACTTTTCAGAGCGTAATTTGTTAACATAATATAATGGAGACAAAATAAAAACATAAAAGCCCAAAATTCAAACCCAAAATGCAAACAAATACATCTCATTACCTATGTAAAATATCTGGCAAACGAAAAAAAAAATCTTTAAAAACTAAAACCTAAAACTAAGCCACTTACTGTTTGTCCTTGTAGCTTGACCTGAAATTGTAAATTAATTAAATTTAAATTAATTATATCATGAAATATTGACATAATAGATAATAAAAGTACCAGATATATACAATGTTACCAAAAACAATACGTATACTGATAAGACCTGCATCCCAAGGCCAGAATTATAAGTTTTGAGGTTGAATTTAAAATAAAGACAACATAATATTGGCTCAGGAGTACCATCTTTGATCAAACATAACATATAACTGGTAAACTGTCATATATTTTTGCTCACAAAAAATCTACTTTTTACCAGTATAAAAACGTTTGGATGCTCATCTGAGAATCTCTCATGTTACTGATACTTGAATTGATTATCCTACCACAAATCATTAATTAAACTAGAACCATTTATGTTGTATGTCTGAAAGTACAAGCATTGATGCCAGATCTTACCATACCCGCATAGCTTTACAGTCTAACTTATTTCTTTATTGTTCTCAATCAAACAACCAAGAGTCTCACTCAGTTAAATTTTAAGTAGAGTTTGATTATATTGATAGAAGGAACTTTAAAGTGGATTGGTCTAAAATGGAAAGTCTGTTAAACAATAAATAACTATTTTGTTAGCATTTAGAATCAGACATTACAACAAACCATAGAAGAATTACATATGGATGTTGTTGGCAAGTTTGAGATACATGATCTGGTATTACATATATTTATAAAGCAGATAACAAAATTTTATGGAATAAAATATTACTATTCACTAAATAAATGTTCATACTAAATCACCAAAAACTTTTTTCAAGCAATATAAGAATATCCAAATGCTACATTTCTTTTTTATCCATAATTGACATGCATAAGGAAAATGTGCCAATTGTAGGCCAAACCACTTTAAGGCAACTTTATTTTTTTTCCAATTAACATGGGTTTTCCAGGAAAGTGAGTACATGTATATCTGATTGTCAATTCTATCAAATTTGAACTAAGTTTAGTTTATCTGATTGTCAATTCATTCAAATGTGAACTATGTTTCTTATATCTGATTGTCAATTCAATCAAATTTGAACTATGTTTAGTATATCTGATTGTCAATTCATTCAAATCTGAACTATGTTTAGTATATCTGAGTGTCAATTCATTCAAATTAGAACTATGTTCAGTATATCTGAGTGTCAATTCAATCAAATTTGAACTATGTTTTGTAAATCTGCTTGTCAATTCATTCAAATTTGAACTATGTTTTGTAAATCTGCTTGTCAATTCATTCAAATTTGAACTATGTTTTGTAAATCTGATTGTCAATTCATTCAAATTTGACTTATGTTTTATATATCTTAGTGTCAATTCAATCAAATGTGAACTAAGTTTAGTTTATTTGATTGTCAATTCATTTAAATTTGAACTATGTTTCAATATTTCCAAGCAAGGTTCAAATGAAGGGGATGTTCATACAGGTCTGAGTACAGGTTACAAACCTTTCTGTTTATCATTTGCAGTGGCAGCAGGGATGGAAGACATAGAGAAAGCTTTGGTTATTTTACCATGAGGCATCACACCTAGTGCCTCATTGTCAGTGCTTGAACTTGTACTGTGTGTCGAACTTGACATCTTGTCTAAAGAACTGCCAGAATGATGACCCTGTAATAGAATATTTACGTCTACTTAGTCATGAAAACTATGAAATTACTGACACCTATATGATTTTTTTTCCTAACCTATGAGCTTTTTTCAGTCTTGACAAACTTCACCGCATTATAACAATTTTTACATACATATTTTATATAAACAAACTCTTTTGTTGCGTGCAAAAGAATCAAGTGCCATCTACTTGCCTATAATGGGATATGAAAATAACTGCTGATTTATTGATATTTTTAGGGGCAATTTATCATGTTGTTCATTTGAAATTAAAAAAAAATCATTTTGTTTTACCTAATTCACTTTCTATAATAAAAGTATAGGTTTTATATTGTCTATCTACGTAAAATGAAAAATAAGCATCCATCTTTGTCAGTAATTTCCTGCAATTCTTAGAAATTTCCCAGGCAAATACAGCATAATTATACAATTATAGCTCTGGCAGGGATGTGGTTAAACTACTCTGTGTTATAGACAAGACATTATTGGCACTAGGAAGTAAACATTAGAGTATCAAACCTTCAAATTTCTCATCAAATGTTCTATATCAGCACTATATCTAGCCTTGTTTGCTGACCCACGTCCTTGCATGGAGTTTTCATAACCCTTCTCATTGTCTGAAATAAAAAACAACAACACAGATTACTCAGGGAAACAAACAGATAACTCAATACTGTTGCAAGCAACACCTCATTTGATTTCAATTTTGTGTTTGTTACTTTATTCTCTGTCATGGTGCAAAATTTGCTAAAATTTTCCTTAGTTGTTTAGGTGAAATGAAACTTTCTACAAGTTATGTCTCTTTTTTTCTCTCTTTTTTTTGAAGCATAGCAAAATCACTTTATTATAGAAATGTTTTTAACCTTGCATAATAAGAGAGAATAATAACATTATAATAATATTTTGAAATAATGTAATTAACCTTGATTCTAGCAGTTCTATAGACTATATCATATTTTTGCATTTGTTTTGTGTGACAAGTTACTAGACAATATATCAATATGTTGCACTGTATCAGACAGTTTAAAATATACTTTTGCCATGTTGAATAATTATTATAGTGACAATGCCATCTGGTCAACATACAGAAATCTTCTGTATAAAAAAACATCATAGTGGCAACATGGCCTAGTGGTTAACGCTTCGTCCTAGTAATCTAATGATCGCTAGCCACATGGGTTCACACCCCGTCAGAGGCAAGTCGTTGTTTCCTTGAGCAAGAAACTTTAAACTCATTGCTCAGTACTAGTTGGTTCCAGGAACGGATTCAATAGTGTGTCTATAAGCTTATAGCTTCCTACACAATCAAACTAAGTTAAATTCTTTATTAACCAAAAAAACAACATGCTGAGCATTAGAATTTTGTGAGCATTTGTGCAGTGCACTGTAAAAATCCCTAAAAGATGACAGAAATAAAGTCCTGATATATATAAATTGAAAAATTAAACTTGTGTGTGATAATCTGAGCTATACACAAGGGCCTTCCACATGAATCACATTTCTGATATATGTATCAATACCATGAACTATTTGTTGCTATCATAATAAATCACAATAAAGACAGGCTCTTAAAGTATGTTTTAAGATGCTGAGGAAATCAAATTTTGTTACACGTACCTCTGGCCTCATGTTCCATATCACCTGTGCTACGTACACCACCTCTTCTAGTCCCCTCACTGCCAGCATTAAGGAGACCATCGTTCATATCCTCTTCATTACATAATGTATTTTCAATGTCTTCACTTTGAGGTAATACAACACTGAAAATATAATATAAATCAATAATTGTCAAGTCATTAAAGAAATCCTTGAAAAATGATGATGGTCAATTATATTGAATCTTCAATGCCTCCTCTTTGTGGTAACATCGAACTGTAAGAATGCCATATACATTTTATAGTTGCCCTATAACAATTTTTCTCCTCAAGGTACACTTATACTGGAATATATCACATTTCTAGTCATCATCAGCATTTTCATCCCTTTCATTACAATCATAGCAAGTCTCTGAAACTTTATTTACCTGATCTAGTGCAATGGAAATGTCAATCACTCTTATTTTAAGGACTATTTTTTAAATTTCAATCCCAAAAAGTTGTTATTAAAGGATGAATTTTGTTAACATAACAGAGATGTCATTGACTATTGAAGACTTGTACCACAATAAAAAGATACTAAAAAGTCATAATATATTTAACGGAGATATCAACTTTTTTTGTAATATCATACTAATTACTTTTTACAACCTGTAAGTACACTGCAATTGTAATGTAAGTCAGTGAATAGAGTTCAAACTGTTGTATAGATGTACAGAATTTTCAGTGAAATATTGTAGTTGTCAGATGTTAACACATAAATCCTGGAATATTCATGATAATATAATAGGTTAACTTGGTAATATACAAGAAACAAAGTAGGTTCCTGGTAAAATCATAATTAGGTAATAATGAGTAAATGATTAATTAGCATTCTTTTTCCTGGCAAAGTTAAACTCATTATCCAGCTTTTACAGGTGTAGTACTTATGCTCTAATTTCTGTCTCATTCTCTAATGTACCAGATACACAACACAACAAAGGTACCACTTAATATCATGCCTCTAGGAAATTTCATACAATGTTCTTGGATTTTGGCAAATATATCCATGTCAAATTTAAAGTTTGAAATAAGTCATCTCAAACAATTTATTGTTCATTTGAATCATTTGTGTTTTCTACTGGCAAAGAAAATCTGCATAGTAACTATGATTCTCATCTTTTCAGTAAGATTTTCAATTTGGGGGTACTGGACACAGTTAATTGACAAATCTGCAAGCATGGCAGTACATTTTACAAAATTCAGTAGAGTACAAAGTTACTGTGAAGTTAGATTACTCTATAGTTACTCTTATAGTTTATTTAGAGGATATTGAAAGATGAGTCGTAGGGGTTTAATACTTAAATTTATTGAACGAGTTGAATAAAATTCATATTTGCGAGCCTCCTGGCTCGTATCAATTTAATTATTGTTTTTATTCGCACAAGAGTTTGCAATTTTAAATTTTAGTTATTGAATCTTTACACGAATTATAATAATTCTATTTTATTCACATGGATTTATATTGTTAAATATGAAGCATACGGTAAACTGTTAACAAGAGTCATTTTTCTTTGACGCGCCTATAGCGTAAACACTACATTAGCGCGCTTTTTAACGCTATGTTTATATGCAAATGACGTGACGTCAAAAGTGTTATTACACTAGCTGTAATATCGTCTAGTGTAATATCGTTCATTATTAAATGGCTTATTACACTTTCCTGTCCGCGGTTTATGTGATAATGTACTGTATAACAATCATGCAACCAATGTGATCACTGAATTATGTAGACACACCAAAACCCTAGATTTGTTGCTAAGCAACATTAAAATATTATAAATCTCAATTTGAAACAACTCACTGTTAGTTCAAAGTAAGTCATGGTGCCCTTTCATAGCACACAAGTCTAGGTATCTAGATACAACTACTTTCATTCAAAGACATCCAACATTTCAAGTTCCTTTTATCTTTTGAAAAATAATACAAATACAAAAAACGTCTGTCTTTTATAAGAACAACAATTTACCATTGACATATACTTTGAAATAAGCAATGTCTTCTTTAAATTAACTTATGAGAGGTCCCCAAAATATACTTTTATTATCCATTAAATCTTTAAAACATTATATTATTTTAGAAAGCAGCCAGAAATGTAAAGTTTATATTATTTGTGTAGTTTGAAGAATATAAACAAGGATCTGTATCAGACATTTCACAATATAATGTCAGTGAAATAATAACACATCTTAGTCACCTGACTACCTCTGTACAAAAATCTTGGCATTAATTTAGACAACTTAATGCATTACTGTCTATTCTAGTTGATGATAATGCCATACTTTATACGAAAAGTGTGTCATGTGACCTATCAATGTTAACCTTTAATTAAATTACAGGGTCACCAATGTAGTATTAAATTGTTCTTAAAGGTTATGCCAGAATTGAATTGATTGCTCATTATCTTCTTGTTGGCAATTTTTGTCAGCACATTATAAAAGTGTTTCATCATGACAGAATTGTTTCCCTTCCCTAGGTCATGATCTATATGTAAGACAAATGATTGCCATGGTATAATACAGATGCAATTTCTCAAACTTATCTTGTAAATATGCCATAGAATAATGCAAGATAAAACTTGAACATGCTGATAGAGTTGCCAATAGAAACAGAACATGTCCTCCCACAACAAATCAATCAGTTTCACGTATAGGTTAGTGTTTAATAATATGTATTAACAAAAATAATTGGTCAAGCCTGCCGCAGGCAGGCGACCAATTATTTTTGTTAATGCATATTATTAAACATTAACCTATTTAATGATCAACATTATTTTTTCAACCAAAAACAAGGCATTTCACTAAATCACCGATAGCTCCGCCCTTTCGCTCTACAAGATGTCTACACCTTGTCAAGTTTCTAATATGTCAAATTTAGATAAGCTAAATAAATGGCCCTTAGATCAACAAATAATCAGACACATTTTTTACTGAAATGTCACAGAATTTATACCTTTATCTACAGTAAGACTATCATGTTTCTATAAAATATCTGGGAAAAACAGCGAGGAAAAACAATGTAGTTAATGAAATGTGTACATCCTTGATAGATAAATGGAAAATGTGAGAAAATACATTAGATTAATAATTTATACAAATTCGTTATTAGCTTTAAGTTATGCACTAACATTTCAAATCCCATTTGAAAAACAGTTTTTCTGTGTGCCAATCTAGGTTTTCCATTTACAATGAGTTTTCCAGCCAAAAAATGTAATCATTGTATTCTTAATATCCAGGATTGTTAATGCAGTTCATTCCTATAAACTGAAAGAGGTAACATTTTCTAGAAAAAAAAAGAAGTTTAAAACAGTCAGCAATTTATAACAGACATTTTTCTTAGAGTTAAAAGGATATAAAAAAGTTACTATGTAATCATTTGTCTCTGCATGCCCCACATGTATTATCTATGTAATAAATTAATTGATTGTAACCTCACATTTAGAAAAGCCTGACCTCGCTTATTTGTTTTTTACGTTGGCATTGTTTTGATAACCTTAGATATTTTACAATTCAGAGTGCAAATCACACCTCTAACTCCTCCCTAATATAATGCATTATTGAAATTTGTTAGACTGGTTAGACGACAGATTAAGTAAATTTTATTTAGTTAGTACACATTAACCAAAGTTAGACTTAGCAGCAATTTGAAAAATACTACAATGTGATTGGACAAAAAATAATGTTGATCATTAAAGGTTTGTAATATCCTAGTTTATTAATGGAATCAACCTCATTCTGATAGGAGCAACACATTAATTAACACAATCATGTCACATAATTATCTTAAGTATCATTAATATTTTGTTAAAAGTAAAAACACAAGACAAACAAGAAAGATCAAACTATATTATGAGACAGCAAGTATTTTTATTGTAGTTCTTCATCTACAAAATTCAAGACAGTATTTTGCTTCAGTTTATAAAGAAGAATACATTTGTTTTAATCTATATCATAATTATAATATATCAAATATTAACAAAAGCTGTTGGTAGCTGAGTGTGCTCTACTATTCTCTGTGCTTGATAGTAGAACAAAAGCCTGGATATGTAGAATTTTATAAGTTCAAAGAGTCAAAATTTTGTCAAAATCCAAGTTCGAGTTATGGGATTTGGACAATGACCTCCTATCATGCTCTAAAATAAGTTTCAATCCATTCCCTTCAGTAATTTTGGAGATACCAACTAGAAACAAAATTTTAACCAAAGTTTGATGCTGAAATCTGGGTGAGTTCAATAGCTCTCCCAATTCTTCGATTATTGACGCTTAAAAATCAATTCTGATCTCTGGACTGACAGAGTGGATGTATAAATTTGGTAGCTTAATACTTTGTTTCAGCTGAATTATGATTTGAACTTATTTGAATCAATCTCAAGTTCTACGTCCAGTTGTCATATAAGAAAGCATGTCTATTACCATTAGGGCTTAAACATGTGATCACTGGGCTGAGATACAGAATACCTTTATCCTCAGATCAGAACAAAGAGCACTTAAGAGTGTACTCATATTGAAAGTCATATAATCATAGTTAAGCTAACTGACATTACATTGGCAACAAAAGTCATATCATCTAACACCACTGACAACAAACTATCATAATGATTTATTTCAGTATATCAAAAAATCCCTTTTAGCTTATTTCAAGCCACACACATGGAAAGCATTTCTTCAACATAAAACTGACATTAAAATAAAATGGATTAAAATGAAAACCCTCTTTTCTGCCAGAAAGTAAATGCCATTTCTATTTATTTCCCAGATATATGAAAATATCATGGGTACAATTATAAGCAATAAGCTAATTGGAATCCTGATGGGAAAGTTTTCTCTCCAATTTAGAAATTTTAGTGGCTAGTTGGAAATGAAAAGGTTTAGAGAATATTTTATTCACAAGGTAACATTGGCCATAATGTTACCTACAGAGCTCTAAGTATATCTATATGTAAGCTTACCTTACTGTCCAAAAACATTTAGATGAAATTAGGAAGCTGAGATCATAATAATATATAGAAAGGTAATGACCAAACTGAGGATTGAAACAGTGACCTCAAGCAAGCCGAGTGGTTAACGTGTTGGACTAGTAATGTAAGGACTGCTGACCTTGTGGGTTCAAACCCTGTCAGGGAAAAG